CTATAACTTGACCATTATTTCCCCTATAACTTGACCATTATACCCTTATAACTTGACCATTATTTCCCTTGTAACTTGACCATTATTTCCCTTGTAACTTGACCATTATTCCCCTATAACTTGACCATTATTTCCCCTATAACTTGACCATTATACCCTTATAACTTGACCATTATTTCCCTTGTAACTTGACCATTATTTCCCCTATAACTTGACCATTATTTCCCCTATAACTTGACCATTATACCCTTATAACTTGACAATTATACCCTTGTAACTTGACCATTATTTCCCTTGTAACTTGACCACTATTCCCCTGTAACTTGACCATTATTTCCCTGTAACTTGATCATTATTTCCCCTATAACTTGACCATTATTTCCCATATAACTTGACCATTATTTCCCTTGTAACTTGACCATTATTTCCCCTGTAACTTGACCATTATTTCCCCTGTCACTTGACCATTATTTCCCTTGTAACTTGACCATTATTTCCCTTGTAACTTGACCATTATTTCCCCTATAACTTGACCATTATTTCCCTTGTAACTTGACCATTATTTCCCTTATAACTTGACCATTATTCCTCTATAACTTGACCACTATTTTCCGTATAACTTGACCACTATTTTCCGTATAACTTGATCATTATTTCCACTATAACTTGACCATTATTTCCCCTATAACTTGACCATTATTTGTAACGAACTTTTGCAATGCATTAAAGCTTTTACGAAAAGTCAGTTTTATGTTTGAATTAAAAAATAAATACATCAAACTAATTTTTATTTCTAAATGAAACTGGTATTTGTTTATTTTTAGTGCAAAGCTACACAATGGGCTAAATACGATTCATCCACTGCGGGGAAATGAGCCCCGGATTTTAGAATTGTAGGTGTGCAAATTACCGCTGATCCACTAGGGAAGGGGGGAGGGGAGAAATGAAAGGAGTAACATTTTTAATGCAAGTTTTAACGAAAAGGCAACTTCAAATATTCCTTTAAAAACAAAAGTTTGTATATATTACTTCAGATTCGTTTATCAAAGTGGTATTATATTTAACAACAATAAATTAAATAGAACACTAATAAAAACGTAAAGATTAACTAAATGCAACATTTCATCTTACGTCGGCCCGGCATGGCCAGGTGGTTAGGGCGCTCGACTCGCAATCTGAGGGTCGCGGGTTCGAATCTTTGTCCCACCAAACATGCTCGCCCTTTCAGCTGTGGGGTGTTATAAAGTGACGGTCAATCCCACTATTCGTTGGTAGACCAAGAGTTGGCGGTGGGTGGTGATGACTAGCTGCCTTCCCTCTAGTCTTACACTGCTAAATTAGGGACGGCTAGCGCAGATAGCCCTCGTGTAGCTTTGCGCGAAATTCAAACCAAACCAAACCAAATCATCTTACGTCATAGAACTATCAAAAATCAACCAATCGACTCAATTAACATTGATGACCATAAAAACTCATTTATGAAACAACAAAACATTAAAATAAAATAAAAAAAGATACAAAATATAAAAAACAAAAACTTGCACACCAGGAGATGAGAAACAAAATTTAAGTACACATTTTGTCAATACAAAAATGTCCCTGGTGGGACAGCGGTAAATTTAGGACTTATAACGCTAAAATCCGGGGTTCGATTCCCCGCTGTGGAAACAGCAGATAACCTAACGTGGCTTTGCTTTAAGACAAGGAAGGAAAGAAACAACAGAAAAATACAAGTGGCTTTAGTCTGTTGTTATCGTGTATCTCCTAATTGTAACACCGCAACCTAGCGGACACCGTGAGGTTAAGAGGTATGTTAAACAATAAGTCGTATAATAGACGATGTAAATAAGCCACAGACGTTTTCCGATTTTATATTTAATACTGTATCTATAGCAACCAAAATAAACTTTACTTACTATGCATGAAGATATATAACAATTAAACATCAGGAAAATTGATTATAACAAAGTTTTCAAAATTGTTAGTAGCGGTAATTTTATCCTTAGTAATCATATAGTTAGCCTGCTTACCAAGTTTACAAGTTTCACATAATTAGCCTGCTTACCAAGTTTACAAGTTTCATATAGTTAGCCTGCTTACCAAGTTTACAAGTTTCACATAGTTAGCCTGCTTACCAAGTTTACAAGTTTCACATAGTTAGCCTGCTTACCAAGTTTAAAAGTTTCATATAATTAGCCTGCTTACCAAGTTTACAAGTTTCACATAGTTAGCCTGCTTAGCGATTTTACAAGTTTTTTTTCCTACTAATCTGCTAGCTTGTATATAAAAAAATCAATACAGATAAGAAAATTCACGAATAAAATTTGGTGCGACCATTAAGTTGATAAACATTTCGAGTTTGTTTGAATGGTGGTACAAGTTCATGTATGTTTTCTTTTTCTGATCCACAAATGTCTGGGCAATAAAATAATTTACGTTAACATGCAATAAAGTTTCACCTTCTGTTCATTGACGAACCAAGCCAGCTGACTTGTCTGATCTACAAATGTCAGGGCAATTAAAACAATTTACGTTAACATGCAATAAAGTTTCACCTTCTGTTCATTGATGAACCAAGCCAGCTGACTTGTCTGATCCACAAATGTCAGGACAAATTAAAACAAATTACGTTAACATGGAATAAAGTTTCACCTTCTGTTCATTGACGAACCAAGCCAACTGACTTGTCTGTTTTATCTCTGGGAGAGCTGCAGTTGACTTCCACGATCTCTCCTACTTTATATTCCTGTTTACCTGTTGACAGAGTTGGCCGTGTTTCAGCTGGTATATCTACCGAGAGAAGAGCATCAGGGATCTTTAGATATCACAGATGGTGAACAACTTCAACAGACTATAAAAACAGATACTTTGAGTTAGTAATTAATTTAATAAGTATAATAAGAAAGTACGCTAGTTAGTTTTTTTCTTTCGTGTCGTTAAGTGCAAACTGTACAGTGGATTTTTTGGGCCTGTGCCCTCCGCAGGGATCGAACCAGCAGGTCACTTTACTTTGGCTGTAAAAATGAAAAATAGGGCGTATGTGAAAAAAATATATATATATATAGGATTTGTTTGTTTGTTTGTGTACAAAGCTAAATAATGGGCTATCTGTGCTTTGCCCACTACGGGTATCAAAACTCAGTTTCTTGCGTTGTAAGTCCGCAGACATACCGCTGTGCTTCTGGGGATATATATATATATATATATATATATATATATATATATA